TCAAACAATTGAAAAAAGTCACAATGGCAACAGGAATCTTGTCCTGTAAACTAAAGGGAAAGTATAATTTTCACATCCTGTTTCCCATGATCCTCCTCATAAATCTGCCATCTTTTACTTCCTTCTCAACATGCTTCTCCCTCCTTTATGGGAAGAGGCTGTGAGCTGTCCCCCAATATCCATTCTTCCTTCCTTCTACAGCTAAAGAATTTCAGATATTTATCAGGCACAAGACTTCCTAGGGAAAAAAAAGACTAAATTCCTGACTTTGTAGGTAGGTGTGGACATGAAACTAAATTCTGCCAATGGAGTACATGTAGATATGGCACATACTACTTTTGGGAAATGTCCTCAAAAGTATCCAACTTCTTTCTTCTCTCCCTTTCTACTGATAGGTGGCTTTAATGGCTACTGCTCTATTAGACCGTGTAGGAAAGAATCTTACCCTGTGGTTGGGAGATGTGGAATACTGGAAGGAACCTGGGTTTGCCGTAACTTTGTGGAATTGCCAACCTAACTGATAGAATCCCCAAAGCGTACATCAGTACTCCCACAACCTCAAGGTGGCCTGTGCATATGGTAACTCTCCCCAGGGGAAACAGAGCTGACGGGGATAAAATAGTTCTTTTGCCACCAGAAAGTTCTACCAACCCAATTAGTGGCACTAAGGTTGTCTGGATAAATGACTTCCATCTGGAGAGCTGCCCAGAAACAGTCCATCCCCTTGAACATGTAACTTACACGTTACAAAGCAAGAGCCTTGACTGATATTTTCTTATTTACTCGTCATCTCAAATTTATGACTTAGCTCTATGCTGATTCTGTCACATAAGGTATCAGATTGGACCGATGACTATGGTCAACCTGATCAAAGTCCTGCCTTACACCAAAAACCAAAGCAGACTGCCCTTAACAAAGTTTGAACTAATCTGATCCACATTAGTAGAGGCACCTTATTCTGTAAAGGGCAGAGCAAGGTTGGAAAGAAGATAAAAGCAGATTTAACTAACATTTACTGACCAATTGCTCCATGACAGGAACCATGCTGAATGTTTTCATACATATTAACTCACCAAATTTTTATGATCATCCTTCCAGGAGATAGGTATTTTACTGAATCTAAGATGACTACATATATTGTGTATGATTGACTTACACTGGATTATTTTATTTTATTATATCATTTCATCTATGAATACATCAGAATGAATTTTGAAAAGATAACAGCTGTTAAAAAATAACAGGGATGCCATTATCACACCTAAAAAGATCACTGTTAATTCCTTAACACCATCAAATACATGAATTGTTTCATAAATGTCGTTTTACAGTTAATTTGGATAAGGATCCAAATAGGTTGTACATTATTTTATGTGTCCCAAATCAGTTAATTCATAGGATACTCCTCTGTTTCTCCTTGAAATTCATTTGTTAAAGAAACTGGGTTGTTTGTCCTATAGAATCCCCCACATTCTGGATTTTGTGTGATTTTCTCTCCAAGTGTCATTCAACATGTTCTGCCCTCTGTATTTCCTGCAAACTAGTAGTTCGAACTGCAGACTTACCAGATTTGGGTTCAATTTTTTTGACAAGGATGACTCGTAACGGGTGGTATGCTCTTCCTATTGTATCTTTGGGTGGTGTGAAGATTGATCAGGGGTTGTCAGCCTGACTCGTTCTTCAGAAATTTCCCCATCATCTTTTCACCTGATCAATCTAGCAGCCCTTGATGATCTTTGCCTAGATCCAATCATTAGGGATTACAAAATGATGACTTAAAAAAAAATCAGGTTTACTGAAGCATACTTTGTACCAAATAAAATTTAACCTTTTAAGTAAACAGTGTTATGAGTTTTGACGAAGGTATGAAGGAGTGTAATTGCCACGGCAATCAAGATAGAGAACACTTCCACCACTCAAAAAAGTTCTGCAGTAAATCCTCCCCTCCTTCCAACCCTATCTCCTGGCAACCAGTGACCTGTTTCCTGTCCCTACAGTTTTGGCTTTTCTAGAATGTCATATAAATGGAATCTTACACTGCCTAATGTTTTGTGTTTGGCTTTTTTCACTTAGCATATGCTGTCGAGATCCATCCTGTGTGTATCAGTAGCCCTGTTTCTTTTTATTGCTGAGTAAGTAGTACTGAATGTATGGATATAACCATAATTGGTTTATCCATTCTTCCATTGATGAACATTTGGGTTGTTTCCAGTATTGGCCTATCAAGAATAAAACTTCTATGAACATCATTATACAAATTTTTGTGTGGGCTTAAGTTTCCAATTCTCTGGTAATTGGTTAGGAGCATTCTGTATAGTGAGCATATAGTTATTGAAAACTGCCAACTATTTTTCAAAGTTGCTGTGTGATTTTGCATTTCTAGCTACAGTGTATGAGCATTCTAGTTGTTCTACTTTATCTTTACTTTGTATTGGTAGTCTTTTTCTATTTTATCCATTCTAATGCATGTGTAGTGGTGACTAACAGTGGTTTTAATTTGCATTTTCCTGATAACAGATGATTTGAGCTTCTTTTCACATACTTATTGGCCAATCCTATGTCATTTTTGAAGTTTCAGTTGAAATATTTTGTCCATGTTTTAATTGGATTGTTTGCTTTCTTATTATTGAGTTGTTAAGAATTCAAATGATAATCTTATTCTATAGTCTATGTTTAATAGTTACAATTGTATAAGGAAGCCTTCTTTCATCATTTATTTGGTAACCTTGAGGTATAATTTTTAAAGGGAATAGGATATATGCTTGATTCTTCTCTTTTAAGCAGTTTTGATTCCCTAGCATTCTCCACAAGGGACCATTAAGTTTCTTGTTATGATTATTATGACCTTGTGGATTTTAACTTATTATAGTTACCTCAATCATTATAGCTTTCTTTTTTTTTTTGAAGTCCAAATTTCTCATCTTTGACTAGTGGGAGGCCTTTCAAGTTGGTTCCTGGACTTTGAGTTTCTTTGCTTTCTTGTATGACAAGATTTTCTGGCTCCTTATACATTTCTTGCCTGTGTAATGATAGTTTGGCCTTGCCCACAGAGAGGTCTTGCCTTTATCCTTGGCTTCTGGGAGGTAATCTCAATTCTGGGAAGTAATGTCATTCCTGATAGAAATATCTTTGTTTAGGGTGGATCTTAGGACAGGGCTGGCCACACCTGATAGTCTTAGAGGAGGACTGGCCGGGCCAGAAAGACCAAGCAAGCATGTGACTTAGGGCGGGAGCTTGGGGTCAGGTGGTATTGGTCAACATGGGGACTAAGATTAACCACATGAGCAATCAATCAATATCAATCAATCATGCCTAAATAATGGAACCACCATAACAACTTTGAACACTGAGGCTGGGTGAGCCACCCTGGGTGCAGTATGTCATGAGTATTGTCACACATTGATGCTTTGAGGGTAATGTGTCCAGATTTCTAGGGGAGAGGACAACAGATGCTTCACGTTTGGGATGCTCCCAGACAATGATGACCTTTACCTCTCCTTTCTGGCTGATTTTAATCTGTATCCTTTCCCTGTAATAAACTGTAACTATGAGTATAATAGTTTTCTGTGAATTGTATGAGTTCTTCAGCAAGTTGGTGAAGCTGAGGGTACTTCTGGGATTCCTTGGACTAGCAGTTGGTTTAAGAAGTGAGGGCAGTCCCAGGGACTGTGAGCTCTAATGCAGTTTGGCCTACTCCAGGCACACTGCTCAGATCTGCAGGCAGTTACTCCTCTAAGGATCTCTGTCTTCTTTCAGTGACTTATATACCACAACCTAGGTGCCAGGGGTTTTCACTGCTGCTGAGTGGGTGGTCACTGCTTCTAGGACTTTTCCATGAGCAGAGCTAATAAAAGCTTTTCTCTTTTTTGTTTTTTAAGAGAAAATCTAGTATGACTTTTTACTGATATTTCTAATTTGAGATTTAAGATTATAGATTTTTACTTCTTTGATTTTATAATAGTATCTCTTTCACACTGAAAATCTTCCTATCTATAGCAGATAGGTATTTATTTGCTTTATCTCTCAATATATTTTCAGAATAACAATGTTAGTATGACTAACAATATGATGACTGAAAACAATTTAAGATTTTTTTGCAGTTTCTTTTTGTCTTTTGGAAATATAGTCAAATTTCAGATCACCTGAAATAGTTCCTCTATGTGTGGCTAAGTCATCTACTAAATGGCTTACTTGGGTCCACTTGTCTTATTTTGCTTGATTTTTTGAAATTGGCTTTTCCCTCTATTTAACTTTGATTTACCTTTGTTTTATATTTTATGTAAACCATGTACATAGTTCTAAGAGTCAAATCTACAGAACAAGGTATATTCAGAAGTCTACCCTCCACTCCTACCCCATTTTTACATTTTACTCTTTTTAATGGCCCACACTACTTACACCATTGTAGTGAATTTTAAATTGCAGAGAAAGATCTACGTTTGGCATATTAATTGAATGCAAAGGTTATTGTTAAAGAAATGCTTAAAACAGTAGACCTAATTCTTAAGGTTAAATTCTTCCTTTGTTTATACTATTAAGTTTTTACAAGCTCTATTTTGTATAGAAACTGCGAAGATAAAAGTTTCATTCTACACACCGGAACTGTCAATCAAAATACTTGGAATTTTAAAAAATAAATATTGATTTACTAAGACTATAATTAAAACAAATTCTTAAACACTGAACACTGATGCAGGATGCCTTTGGGCCCAGGAGTAGCTTGCACAGCCCTTGGGGATGTGTGCACTAAGGGATGATAAAACCCTAACAGGTGTCTCCGTCCATGCTCCCCTGCCCACTTCTGCACATTCCCAGAGGTCCTCAGCATGCAGCCCTCAAGGGGACTCCTCCTCTACCACTGGCCTCTGGGGGACTTCCTCTGCCGCCATACTTTCACATTTCCTTTATATGCTAAAGATGTACATATTTGTATCTCCAGCCAAGACGGTTCTCTTTAATATTTTTTTTTAAGTTTCAAGGAAGACAACTCAAGAACTTACCAGCCCATAGGACCCATTGTTTCTGCTCTTGTTTTCCCACGCTTTGCTTCTTTAAGCAATTCTTCTATGGCTTTCCTGGTGAGAAAAGGAAAAAATTGGAGAGGTCGTCAGTCATCTAAGTTCGGAAAATCGAGTCATTCCACATATACGATCTTGGGAAAGAAGCAGCTCTTGAAGGATAACATTTCAAAACCGTGGGTAAAATTTTGAAAAAAACAAAAAAATGAAAAAACAAGGTTCATGGTTTTGAACATGTAAAAGTCAAAAAGAAATTTTTCATGTGATGGGGGAAAACACTGAAAAGAAAAGGACAAAATGACAAACTACATCCATATTAAAAATGATCAAATACACTAATATTCTAAGAAATACTAATTAACCCATGAATGACAAATCTGTTTCTGCCCTTCAGTGAGTGAGAGTAGAGAAGTGGATATTCTTTTCTCTACTAATGGGGACCAAAGCTGACATAACATTTCTGGAGGACAATTTGGCAACATGAAATAAAGAGCCTTAAAAATAACACATACCTGTTGACCTAAAAATTCTACTTTACCCTAAGAAAACAGTATGCAAAACTATACGTACAAGGATACTCATTAAACCACTTGTTAACAACTAAAGAAAAAGAATAGAAAACTTAAGTGTTTACTAAAAAAGAATTGGTTCCCTAAATCATGGCTTATCCACACAGAGCAAGGTTAGGCAGTCACTAAAAATGACAACAAATGAATACTGGCCATAGACATTCATAATATATTTAGTATGTAAGCTGGGCAGAAAACACTGTGTAGAGATTAATCTTAATTTTTTTTTACATGTATGTATCCCATAGGAAATCATGTGGAAGGATGTTATCAAAACAATATAATGAGCTTTGCGGTGATTTTTATTTTTTGCTTTTCTGCATTTTCTATTTTTTCTAAACTGAGTCTGTATTATTTGTGTGAATAATCAGCCCAGCCTCATGGCATCATGGAGATAAGTGCATCTCATTACCACATAACATTCTTTCTTCAACTCTTTAAAATACTTTCTAGGAAGAGATAGAAAACCCAGAAAAGTTATTATGTATCAACTATATGTAGACACTTTACTATGTCTAAGCTACTGTGCAAAGTGCTATGGGGAGTAAAATAGGAAGATAATCAGTCCTGACCTTAATTTTTTTATGATAAATAAATAATAAAGTTATTATTTTGGAAGAAGTTGGAAAAAAATATAGTCCAAAGACAGTTATAAATCTAATCACAAAGTTTTGAAACTGGATAATTATATATTGATTCTATATAAAAATATTTAATTATATTATTATACTATCTATAATACTATTACAGATACTATTTATAAAATACTATTTATAAAAAAAAATTTAACTTATAAGAATGTCGTTTTACACTGATTTTTGTTTTATCAAAGCATGCACATAGCTTCAAAAGACAAATACTATTTAAAGACTTAAAATACAGCCATTTTCTGCATCAACCTTCCCTCCCCACCCGAAAAAAAAAAAGTTCAACTTTTCTTTATCTGTTTCTCCTGGTATTTACCTCCATATTGCTAATAATATGCTTTCAAACTATTTCACCACCCTCTTAAACAAATATATCTGGCTATCTTTGTGCAACTTACACATTTTTAAATAAACTCTTGACAGTGAGATCTTTAAAAAATGCCTTTTCCACTAAGCTAACTTAGCAGCTTGACACTTTGGGATGCGTCCTGGGAGGGTCCCCTGGCAGAGTCAGTGAAGAGCCGGAACGTGCAGTGTGGGTGCCTTCTTACCCCTTGAACGTGCTCAGTCAGATAACGTTTCTCAGCCCAGCCTCATGACACTGTGGAGAGGTAAGTGCATCTCATTACCACATACCATTCTTCCTCCACCTCTTTGAAATAATAATACATCCTACTGATGTGATCTGAGGGCTTTGTTTCATGCAGTGTGTCATGATAAATTTATCCTATCTGTCTCCAAAGCAGAGATCTTTTTTCATCATTATGAATGGAAGAAATACAAAGGGTAAAGATACTCCGAATGCCTCTTCTTCTACGTTTCCAGCACGTAGTGTAGTTTCTAAAGAAAGCAGGTGATCAATCATACTTAGATCCTCCTATGCGCGCTCTCTCTTCCTAACAATAGAAACAGTTAAAAATCATCAGGGGTAAAAAACTTGTTTGGCCAGTTCCCCAATTATGAACACACTATATATCAGCTACAAATAAACTAGAATGCATTCCCCCATAAAAACAGTGTTAAAATGTTTCTTTGTTCTCCAGACCAGCCTACAGAGGCCTAGTTGTGTCATGACGCAGCTGAAATGCTGTACATCTGCAGGAGTGCTCAGCGGAGAGCGCCCCGAGATGCTGAAGGCACACACATGTTCCAGTCACCTTCAAGAGCCAAGAAGTTTGACAGTGAGTCTCCTGTAGTTTCATTTCACCTAAAATATCTCCAGCACTGTTATTAACCTGACCTGCCATGATTAAGGAGACCTACTGGTTGACAACTAGTCAGAGAGAGAACAAGGTGTACCTATGAGAGGCTATGGGGTAGAAGGGGAAGGTGTAGAAGCCAGGGGCACAGGAGGCTCAGGCAGCAAGTCTCCAGGTGAGCAGGCTTGGCTACAGTCCACAGCAAAGGTGCGGGCAGGTTTGCATCCCCATGGCTGGGGTGGACCCAAGGTAGGAATTCGTAATTACTTGGGTTAACGACTAATCCTGGCATGGGGCTTTACCGTTTACAAGGTGCAGTCCCATCTGACCAGGACAACATAGTTATGACCGATTGATAGATGAGAAAAGTGGCACTTAGGGACATTAACTTGCCAAAAATGCTGCTAATGATTGGGGAGGAAGGACAAAAACTAACAAACCGAAAGGACCCTGTTTCAGGCCACATATCCTCTGATCACATACCAAAAAAGGTTTATGAGGGTAAAACTCAAAAGGAACATTGAGGTCATTTTGGAAATGAAAAGACATATTCACAGATAAAAGATGAATTACAGCATATTTAGCCAACCTCTGTCAGGCACGTGCTCTTTAAGATGATTTATACATTACCCATCTTCTTCACACACATTTGTATAGCAAGTCCTGGGGAAGTTGTTTCTCTTTATCATTAAAAGGCAAAAAATAAAATAAATGAAAAAAAAAAAAGGCCGGTTGGAGCTGCTGCCCCTGCCTCCACACTCACTCAGAGAAGCAGGCCACTGGTCAATACTCGGGGAGGCCCAGGAATGAGGGAGGCCCGCTCACTATTCTGTCCTAAGAATGTTGAGCATTCGCTCCCTCCCACCCCAAATTCTCCTGCACAAGCTCCTTCTGCTGGGCTTTCATTCCAAACAGGAAAACAACAATTTCTGGCAAGCATGTATTGTGTCCTTGAAATAACATCACCTTAAAAAAAATAAAAGGGGAAAAAACAGCAAGTCAGGTAGTTTTCTTCACTACTGTAGCTCTCGTTTTTCCTGGAATTCTTGCTAATGAATTCTTGGTCAAGGAAACAGCAAATACAGTTTTTACTGCAAATGATCAGGAGGCCAAATACTTAAATTCTCAAAGATTATGAAACATCAACCTCAAGAAAAAAGATAGCTTTGATGAGGTGATAAAACAGAAGTATAAATTGCAATTAGATAGAGGAAAAGCAAAAAGTAGGACAACATATAGGAACTAAGTCCATACAAAATTTGAAGAAAATTATTCAGACATAAATTTAGTTCTAGGTACAGTCATTTTTATATTTCGATCCCTGCAACATCTTAAAGGTTTATTTGCAAAAAAAGTTCACTATATTAGAATATAAAGTTCAATGCAAACAAGAAGTGCAAGAAGGCTAGGTCATTAAGCAGACAAGTTTTCTGGGCATAAGAACAAACCACAATCAATTTTCAATGATCTATGTGTGTATCATCTACAGCCAATTTTCCATCCTAGCCCAGCTTCCTCAGGCCTGCCTGTTCATTCCATTAGCCAGCTGGTACATGCTGAAGGAATGTAAACCGATGATAATAGCAGCTTAAATAAAACCCAAGTGGGAATGCAAATCATCTTAAAATCCTAAGGCAAACAAATTAGTTTTGAGTTATCTGGGTCTGAGTCTCCTTTGACTCACATAAATACACTGAGAGTTAACTGATATATATCAGTACATAGAAAGGGCAGCAAGAAAATGAAGGCAACTAAAATGAAACAGCAGAACTTGAAGGGCAAATTAAATAATGAACATAAGAAAATGAGATTTTTAAAAGGAATAAAATCAGAGAAACTAAATACCAAGTAACAGCTCAAAAAAGAGAGATGGAGTATCTGGTCTCCAGCCACTGTTTTGAGAAGCAGTGAAGTGGTATGGATTGAATGTCTGTGTCCTCCCAAGTTCATGCTGAAACCTAAGCCCCAAAGTGATGTATTAGGAGGCGGGGACTTTGGGAGGTGACCAGGTCACGGGGGAGCCCTCGTGAATGGGATTAGTGCCTTGTAATGAGGCCCCAGAGCTCTTTCCCTCTTTGTACCATGTGTCTCATCAGACACTAAATTTGTCAGCACCTTGATTTCAGACCTTGAGCCAACAGAAGGACAAGAAATAAATGTTTGTTGTTCAAGCCATCCAGTCTATGGTATTTGTGTTACAGCACCCTGGATGGGCTGAGACAGAAAGCTAGAAACAAATGGCTGAACACTAGGTACTTCCCACATTTTGTGCCTCCCCCAGTCTTTAAAAAGGTACTTTTGATCAACTAACTGTAAAGTACAGTATCTGTCACATGATAGATGGAAAAAGAAGTTCAAATAAGGCAATGAGTCATGTAAGACGCCTCTGAAGGTCTTGATGTGTTTGAACAAGCGTGACTTGGTGACAAGCACAGACTTAGAAAACCAGCAGAAATGGGTGCAGCACCATTGGCTGCTGTGACTGAAAGGCATGTGACAGGCTAGTGTATACCTATGCCGAAGGCAACCAGCTTCACATCCACATGCATTATCCACCAGGATACGGGTGGAATTTAAGAGAAACTTTATTATAGCAATCTAAATTTTTTCCCATAATGGAGTGATAAGGCTTGAAGAGAGAA